ACTTTTGAATATTCCACCCCGGCTTGTGAACTCGTTGGGGCAGGGACTGTATCTTTATGTGTCGACAGCATATGGCTGCTGATGGATTGCAAATAATAGTAGAAACGCCATATTTCAGAGTAGGTTGTGCCGCTCTTCAGCATATAACCCACTCTCTCCTTCCAATTCCACTTAGTGGTACCCTGATTTGGAAAATAGTGTGTATACCATCGATTTAGATAGTGACATTAAAATAATCTCCAGTCCATTCCTTATACATCATAATATCCACATCAAGGTACTGTGTCTCCTCTACACACAGTAGCAGAGGGGAAGACTGGGCCTGAGTCATTCCTTGAAAGTGCCATAGTTAAGAAATAATTTCCTCACAAGAAAGCCAGGCTGTGAGCCTTCCTATGACCTTGTCTTCTTGGGGATAATTTCCACCTCCCAGCAGTTTTATCAAAGTATTGTTTAATCTTAACACTAGGAACAAAGCAGAACCCGAGAGAAGAGGTTATGAAAACAAAACAAGGTCCACACATGGCTCTCACACAGAGTCTTAGGTGAGCCTACCTTACCCCAGACACCCCAATCTCTGGGGTCTAGGTTCACCTTAGCTCAGCCTTGAAGGATTTTTTTCTAGAGAGAGTCTTTGAGCTCTTTTCCTGGCTTTCTCTCTCCCTTACTAATACAAAACCAGTTTGGTGAGCTCTGCAGAGGGTTGGAGCCAGAGCATCAAAGTGAATGGCTTCTGCCTGGTCCCTGAAGTGTGTATCAGGATACACACAGGCTCACCTCCTTCTAGCATAGGTGCTGGAGGTGCTGCCGCACCCTGGCTTGAAGTGGTTTCCATCATATACAGAGTTGATAGTTTGGTTCAATGGCTCTCAGCACCCCCACTATAAACATTGTTTCAGCATTGATGTGCTTCTGGGTGCGTTTTCTGCTAAACCGACTTGTGAATTAACTCAGTAGATGCATGCATAGGGTTACCATATTTAGTGCCTCCGAAAGGAGGACACTAAAGGGGCCCCAGCCCCGCCCCCAGCCCCGCCCCCAGCCCCGCCCCCAGCCCCAACTCCGCCCCCTCCCCCAAAGTCTCCGCCCCCTCCCCTGCTTCCCACGAACATTTGAGTCGCAGGAAGCCTGAAGCAGGTAAGGCGGGGTGTGGGGGGAGGAGGCGCGGCCCACCCCCGAGCCCCCGGCCCGGCACCCGACCCGGTGGCCCGGCACCGCATGTCCGATTTTCCCGGACATGTCCGGCTTTTTGGGATTTCCCCCTGGACGGGGATTTGGAGCCCCAAAAGCCGGACATGTCCGGGAAAATCCGGACGTATGGTAACCCTATGCATGCAATAAACACAATAACCCGGTCAAGATACAATATGCATAAATTATTACAGGTAGCTCCAAATCTGCCACAATGATAGTTGCTACGGTAGCACCGAGAGGCCTGAGCTGAGATCCGGGCCCATTGGGCAAGGCATGGACATAGTACACAGTCCTTGCCCCAAACAGGCTACAGTCTAAACAGGAAAGATAAAGCACGGAACAAGAAACAGGCACAGAGAGGTGACATAACTTGCCCAAGGTCACATTGAAGAGCCAGCCTGAGAACTATGTTTTCCTGACCCTCATGCCAGTTCCCTGCCTGCTGGGCCGTGCTGACATACTCCCAAAGTACTCTTTCAAATATAGTCATTCTTCAGGCAGTTTGGCTGTTGGCTGATGAACAGAGCGTTAAGTGGCAAGCCATCAGAAAGCCATTCTCTGGAGAGCTAGGGCTGGGAGCCTCCTAGCTGGAAAATGATATTCTATCACCAGATTGCCGTTTTGTTGGATTTTGTTTGCTGGCAATCAGCGAGTAGGCTCAGCTGGGATAATCTCTCACATGAGGTTAGCCAGAGTTGTGGCATGGCTGCACATCTGTTTGGGGAGCACGGTGAGGTGCTGCCAGTCACAGCCTGGGGGTTCTAGTCCCGGCTGTGCGGCAGATGTATTCTGTGCCTTTGAACATGTCGCTTAGCCCCTCATGGCTGCAGTTTACTTCTCTGCACAATGGAGAATGTAGTTCTGTGCAAAGAGCTGTAGGTGTCAAGTCTCAGGCAAGTCTGAAGTTCTTCAGTCATCCTGTGTCACAGTTCTCCCACCTGTAAAACTGACCTGGTAGCAGCACTCACTTGTGTGAGCGTAGGGTGACCAGATGTCCCGATTTTATAGGGACAGTCCCGACTTTGGGGTCTTTTTCTTATATAGGCTCCTATTACCCCCCACCCCCTGTCCCGATTTTTCACATTTGCTGTCTGGTCACCCTATGTGAGCGTGAGCTGTACTATTGTACAGACGGGAAGGCCAGCCCCTCAGCTGGAGTAGTTCCACTGAACTCATTGCTGCTCTGGCAGTTTACACCAGTTTGAGGATCTAAAGCAACGTAACTAAGTACACAGATCTGAACCGGTATTTCAGAGCCACTGAGATCTGGTCGATAATGACCTCTCCCCAGCTCTACTACATGCTTCTTGGTGAGCTGTGGCAAGTCACAATGTTTCGCTGTGCTTCAGTTACCGTTGGTATAGAAGGGTTTGCACATGCAGAAAAGGGAAACCTGTAATTGAAATAAACCACAGGGGGCTTCTAACACCCAGCCCAGAGCTCATTGTGATGGACTGAATGGGTGCTTGTCACAGGGTGGCTGGCTCATTGAGGGAGATGGGCCTCAGTCTACCTGTGACAGGCTTAACTCACCTCCCCAGGTGGGAAGAATGAAAGTCATGTGACTGGTGGGTCAGGTGACCAAATCAGGTTTCTTATAAAGGAGAGCCCTGAGGCGCTGCTAACACTCCAGCATGGAGTGCCAGATGTGACAGACTCCTGGAAGGCTGTAGCTGGCTGAGGAAGCAGTTGCAGGCTGTAAAAGGGACTGTGTGAACGATAACCCAACACTGGGAAGGTGGGCTGGGGACTCCTGACTCAAGATCAGGGAACTGTGGAACCAATGGCCAGCTGGGGGTGTGAGGTACTGTGTGTATAGACTGAATAGGATGGATCCCCTCCAGAAGAGTTCTATTTTAAAAGGATATGGACTGGGTGGGTTAGTGAGGAGCCTTGTGAGAGAGGGAGACTGAGCCAGAGTGCTACAGAGCCACCCCAGGCCATGGGTGTGTGTGTGCTGAGGTGGCAGCTACCCTGGTACAATGCTTTTGTAGGACCTGCAGGAGTGTCCCATTCACCAGGACTGGCATGTCCCAGAAATATTTGGAAGAGTCCTGGCTGTTCAGGGGACTATGGAGTCAGCTGTGGAGCGAGACTAACCCTGCAGTGACTCCTTTAGCTTTGAATGCGGCTAGAACAATTGTCACATTATTGTACACTGTCATGGTGAAAAGGCTCCTAACTTGGTCAAATCCAAGTCAGTTTTCTCAGGAACTCTTCAAAGCACGTCTCCTCTGGGAGGCTACTTTATGCCTGGCGTTTTAGCACGAGACTTTTTTTTTTTTTTTTAAGAGATCTTTGTTAATATGGATGTAACTGGGAAATTAATAAGGTTTTTTCCTTCTCCTTGTTGGCCTACAAACTTTCAGAATAGTTCACTTTGTGACAGAGATGAGGTTTGGGAAAGTACAGCCCCCAAGACAGAACTTTTGGAGAGTTCTGACCAAAGCAAAGCATCAGAATGGAAACATTTATATACAGCCTCAGCAACAGGGTTTGCTGCCATACTCCGCCTACCCCACAGAGCTGTTGCACAGTTTGATCAAGTAGTATTTGTCATGCACTCTGTGATCAATACTTGAAAGTCACCTGACACCGTGCAATACGGTGATTAGATGTCCCGATTTTATAGGGATAGCACCGCTATTCGGGGCTTTATCTTATATAGGTACCTATTAACCTCCACCCTCGTCCCGATTTTTCACAATTGCTATCTGGTCACCCTACCGTGCAATTATCTGGTGGGCCAGCATGATCTGACCCCCACAGAAAAAAGGGGGATGAAGGAGGAAGAAAAAGGGAAGCAGGGAGAAAGTAGTAGTTATAAAAGGGGCATATCAGTATTTAATTTATGATCATCTACACCCAAATCGTTAGTCCCATTTCCCCATAAATTCTCTTACCTCTCAGGCAAGTCCTCACTTTCCCAGGGAAGCAGGCCCCAGCCTGTGCCCACACTCACAAAGTAATTGCCTCTCCTTCTGTCCATTTCTGGTGCTGCTTGCCCCTTGGCTTTTCTCCAACATCCCAGTGTCGTCTTAGGTGTTACCTCTTCTCCCCTCTGGAATGAGCTGGGTCTGGTTTATATAGTCCTAGACCCCTCCCACTCCCAGCAGCCTCTGAGGGGGCTAGATAACTGGAGTCAACTGCTCAGGTTTTTTTCCCCCTCCCCCATGACAGTTCACTCTGCCACAGCACCAGATCAGTCAAACACAAATCAGTCTATTTATCTCCTGTCATAGTCCAAGGTGGGACAGAGCTGCAGGTTGCCAGCTCATTCTGTTGTATCATTGCGTGTCTTCCTCCAGGACTCAGTCTGGAGAGTTCCCTGCCACTTCTACGAGAGTGGCAGATATTTGGTGCCAAAAAGGATCAAGTCTTGCCAAGAGGCATGCTGCCATTTTATAATTCAGTTGTTTCAGCATAAGAGATGAACATTCTGTTAGACAGTATGCAGGGGCGGCTCTATGATTTTTGCCGCCCCAAGCATGGCAGTCAGGCGTCCTTCAGCGGCACGCCTGCGGGCAGTCGCTGATCACGCTGATTCAGTGGCGTTTCTGTGGGGGATCTGCCGGTCCAGCGCCTTCGGCGTACCCACCGCCGAAGCCGCGGGACCGGCAGACCTCCCGCAGGCATGCCGCCGAAGGCGGCCTGACTGCCGCCCTCGTGGCAACCGGCACTCCGCCCCCCACGGCTTGCCACCCCAGGCATGCGCTTGCTCCCATTGAACTCCCATTGACTTCAATGGAGAGAGAATTTCACCCCACGTGCATCGTCATTATACCATGTTTATTTGTCCTTCACAGTGATTTCATCGAAAGCTTCAGAAGATCCCACTTTTGAGAAAACCCATGAGGCCTGGAAGTTTTTTGAAGGTAAAGATACATTTAACATTATCACTTGTTTACATGCAGTTTCTCATTAAGACGCTGGTTGTAGTTGTATTGTGGTAGCAACCAAGAGCCCTGTTTGGGGTCAGAGCCCCATTGTGCTAAGTGCTGTACAAAGACAGCCTGCTCCTAGAGTGCTTACCGTGAAGTACTTAGATTTTCAGAAAGCCTTTGACAAGGACCCTCACCAAAGGCTCTTACCAAAGTAAGCTGTCATGGGATAAGAGGGAGCGTCCTCCCATGGATTGGTAACTGATTAAAAGATAGGAAACAAAGGGTAGCAATAAATGGTCAGTTTTCAGAATGGAGAGAGGTAAATAGTGGTGTCCCCTAGGGGTCTGTTCTGGGCCCAGTCCTATTCAACATATTCATAAATGATCTGGAAAAAGGGGTAAACAGTGAGGTGGCAAAATTTGCAGATGATACAAAACTACTCAAGATAGTTAAGTCCCAGGCAGACTGAGAAGAGCTACAAAAGGATCTCTCAAAACTGGGTGACTGGGCAACAAAAAGGCAGATGAAATTCAATGGTAATAAATGCAAATTAAACTAAACTAAATTAGCTGTTACCACTCAAGAAGGAGAGCTTGGAGTCGTGGATAGTTCTCTGAAAACATCCACTCAACTTGCAGCGGCCGTCAAAAAGCAAACAGAATGATGGGAATCTTTAAGAAAGGGATAGATAAGAAGACAGAAAATATCATATTGCCTCTATATAAATCCACGGTGTGCCCACATCTTGAATACTGCATGCAGATGTAGTCCTCTCATCTACAAAAAAGATATATTGAGATGGGAAAAGGTTCAGAAAAGGGCAACAAAAATTATTAGGGGTATGGAACAGCTGCCATATGAGGAGAGATTAAAAAGACTGGGACTTTTCAACTTGGAAAAGAGACGAAGAAGGGAGGAATATGATAGAGGTCTATAAAATCATGATTGGTGTGGAGAAAGTAAATAAGTGTTATTTACCCCTTTTCAGAATACAAGCACTAGGGGTCACTAAATGAAATTAATAGGCAGCAGATTTAAAACTAACAAAAGGAAGTATTTTTTCATACAACGCACAGTCAACCTGTGGAACTCCTTGCCAAAAGATGTTGTGTAGGCCAAGACTATAACAAGGTTCGAAAAAGAATGAGATAAGTTCATGGAGGATAGATCCATCAATGACTATTAGCCAGGATGGGCAGGGATGGTGTCCCTAGCCTCTGTTTGCCAGAAGCTGGGAATGAGCGGCAGGTGATGGATCAGTTAATGATTACCTGTTCTGTTCATTCCCTCTGGGGCACCTGGCATTGGCCACCTTTGGAAGACAGGATACTGGGCTAGATGGACCTTTGGTCTGACCCAGTATGACCATTCTTATGTTATATTCTTATGTTACAGAGTGTGGGAAACCAGAGAGGGAAAGGTCCCCACTTCACCAAGTTCTCATATCACTGGGTTTTCTTTTTAAGATGATTAGAGAACTAATTTGTATCTGGCCTGTAGGCGAGAGAGCCGTGCAAACACAGGACTCAATCCAGCCTGGTGCTGATCACCTCTTAAGACATACCAAGCTCCCTCATCTTCTAGTGACTTCAGTGGAGGCTGGCTCAGTGAGTTTAGCACTTCCTGGCAGGGCCGGCTCTAGGCACCAGCAAAACAAGCTGGTGCTTGGGGCGGCACATTTTTAGGGGCGGCACGGCTGGCGCCAGAATGCCGCCCCTAAAAATGTGCCCCGGCCGCCCTAGCTCACCTCCGCTGCTGCTGCCACGCAGCGCGAAACAGCTGATTCGCGCGCTGCTACTCGCCCTCCCTCCCAGGCTCTCAAGCCTGGGAGGGAGGAGGAGCAGTGGCGCGCGAATCAGCTGTTTCGCGCGCCGCGGCGGCTCGGGGTCTCCCCCTCCCTCCCAGGCTCTCAAACCTGGGAGGGAGGGGGAGATCCCGAGCGGCCATTTCGCGCGCCGCTGCTCCCCCTCCGTCCCAGGCTTGAGAGCCTGGGAGGGAGGGGGAGAAGCAGCACCTGCGCCGCGGCCATTCGGAGTTTCCCCCTCCCTCCCAGGCTCTCAAACCTGGGAGGGAGCGGGAGATCCCGAGCGGCCGCGGTGCGCAAAACCGCTGTTTCGCGTGCCGCTGCTCCCCCTCCCTCCCAGACTTGAGAGCCTGGGGGGAGGAGGCAGGGCTGGGGATTTGGGGAAGGGGCGGAGTTGAGGCGGGGCCGGGGGTGGGGTAATTAAAGAACAGGGGCGGGGGCGGCCAAAATTGTTTTTGCTTTGGGCGGCAAAAATCCTAGAGCCAGCCCTGCTTCCGGGACACTCAGCGGTACTCTGTAGTAACAAACCAAGCAAATGATGCCTGGTCTGTAGCATGACAACCCATCTCCCTAAGCAAAGATACCTCTCTATCCCTAAGCAAGCACCTGTTCAGTGCAGTCCATTTGTTCAGGACCTGGCATGCCATTACACAGTTAGTTCTGCAAATGTGGGGGCATGTGAACCTCGACCCCTACATTTTTAGAAGTCTAGCCTGCAGCCTTCATACATTACTTTGCCACAGTGTGTGTCTTTGGTGCTTTGCCAGAAGAATGTGAATTGCAGCGAGACACCCCATGTGGGGTTTTTGGACTGCACTTGTACCTGATAATACCACACATTTGGTGAGATGATCAAATGGCTGGTTATTTCTAGGGCCCATTATAAAGTAGATAATAAATACCAAGTAGAATACTTAAGACAGACTGGTGAGTAACTATAGTGTTACTGGGATCAACCAACCTTTTTCAATGCATGCCAGTCCAGCTTAAGTGGTAGGTATTGCAAATGTTCACAGCTATTCTGTATGTGTCTGCTCAGTTGCTGCTATATTTGACAATGTACAAAGGTTCCACGTGCTTTTGTGATATTCTTTAAAACACAGTTTACAAAATATACTACTATCCTGGGCAGAGGGAGTGCGGGCTGGTGAGTAGAGCAGAGGGCGACCAGTCAGGATTCTGTTCCCACCTCTGCCACTTCCTACAAGTCACTTGAACACTCCGTGACTCGGTTTCCCCTCTGTAAAACTGGCCTGCCTCACCAGGGTGTTGAAGGCACTTAGTGTGTGTAAAGCATCCTTCAATGAAGTGGGCTGTGTACCTTGTTATATGAAAGGCAGGAACAGGAAGAAGCATGAGGCCCTATTTTAGAAGGCAGGAGTTTTCAAAAGTGCTCCATGCTGACCAAAATCTGTGATGGTCAAATTCTCACTGACTTCAATGGGAGCAGAATTAGGCCAATGCTGGGTACTTTTGAGACCCCCAGCCTACTTGTATTGCTCAATTTAAAGGTCGGGGGTAAGACTGTCAAAGACATGTAGGGGCCTAAATACTATAGACTTTCAATTTAGGTGCTTATGTGACTTAGAAACTTCTGGAAATGTTACCCTAAATTCTTTGGGGCAGGACCTGTCTATTTCTGTCTTGCACAGAGCTGATCCTTTTTCCTGTGTTGAAATGTTCATCATATCAAGAGCCAGGCTGAGTAATTCTCTGCTTGCCTTTCAGACCTGTACGTATATGCAGTGTTTGTGTGCTCCATCGGCATCATCAGCGTCCTCCTTTTTACACTTGTCATTCTCTGCCAGTCACTGCTGAACAAGAAAAGATCCAGAGGTGAGTGACAGACAAGTGTCAGCCCATTGGCGGGGGCTGGACCACCCATGGTGGGCTTAGGAGATAGACTGACTGACCAGGGAAGGGTTACAGGGAAAGCTGTGAAACAGGCCAAGATAGGCAGTAGTCCAGGGAGGTGAAGCTAGGAGCAAGGAACCAGAGCACTCCCCCCTGAATTTTGTTGAATCAGACTTTTTGCAAAATATTTTGACTTAAAATAAAGTGTGTGTGGGGGGAGCAGTTTAACTAAAAATGTGACCAGCGCTAATTAACATCTAGTTTAAAAAACCTTTGTTTGAAGAGATGTGTGCAGAGGGTATGTCCCAGGGGAAAGGGGGAAAAAAACGACTTGCCCTAAGTCTGTAAATTGTGTAGATAGGGCTATAGTGCCTGCTTGTTCAGAGAAAGCAGGCCAGTTTCTAGCCCCACTCACTTACTTGATGGCAGTGGGCAGCGGCTATCTCCCCTTTTGTTTTACCATTTATTACCTCAGACGTCTACTTCCATACTCTTAAAAATAGGAGACATCACCAATGTTAACACTACTGCCACCACCACCAAAGGATCACTCTGTTCTGAAGGCTGTTTTGTAGCAGCAAGTGTGAGGAAGAAGTGATCTTTCAAGACATAAGCCAATACTTTTGTAATTCACGTAAAACAAAAAGAAATATAAATACTCTATACAGAAGTAAAATTGCGGCCTCTCATAGATCAATGTGCACAGAATCATAGAAATATAAAGGTGGAAGGGACTTCAAGCAGTCATTTAGTCTATTTCCTCACAGATATAATGCTACTGTTATATCTTCTAGGAGGGGGCTTTTAAACATTTAAAACATTCACTAAACTTGCTATTAAGGAGTTCCTTCAGCTGTTGCTATTGACTTTAACATGTGCTTGGATAAAGCCCACTGACTTAAGTGAGCAGGTCGGTGATCTGCACCTCTGAGGATTTGCCATATCAGATGACACATTTGTTCCTTCAAGTTCTGTATCCTGCCTCTGGTACAATTGCATTAGCATTAGCATTAGCAGAGTCAAAATGTTCTGACTTTTGAAGGACTATGTTTGTCAAAAATTCAAATAATGGTAGAAAAGAAACCTTGAAAAGTGCTGGCAATTTTTCATTGACCTGGTTGAGGCTTTCAATTTTTAGAAAAAAAAAAAAAAGTTTAAATCTCATTTAAATTTGAAAAAAAAAAAGTTAAATTGACAAATTCTCACAAAATATTAACTTTTTATCAGCTGTGCTTAGAAATAGGGCTGGGTGAATAATGGATTTTTGATTCATTGGCAGTTTGGGGGGAAAAACATTGAAAAAAGGTTTGGTTTTGATTCAACCCAAAACTATTTTAAAAAAATTTCAGCAAATCAAAGTGGAAAAAAAGTGGAGCTAGGCTGAACAAAATGTTTACTTGCCTTTTTTTTTTGCCCAGATCTACTTAGAGGCATTGTTCTAAGCAGGGACTTTGTGGCTGTAAATGTTATGTTCGTGTTTAAAGTGCAGATGTTACTTGAAAAGTGAAATGACTTGGCATTTAGTGAGAAGCTTGAACCCACCCAAACCCTGGTAATGTTGATATCCGGATCTAGACTCTGTCTTCTACTTATTCTCTCTCAATGGGATCCATGTCAGATTTACTGCAAGTCAAAAGAAGTTTTCCAGCTGCCAGCCTTGCAAACTACCTGGAGATCTGAAAGCCCAGCTGTAAATGCCTCTCACATCATCCCCATTAAGAGACAGAGGCGTCCTGAAATGGAAACTTAGCTAGTGATTCTCTGTGGTGCATCAGGCAGAAGAGAATCCATCTTGTTATCTTGTGCTGGCTGTTGAGGACTAATGTATTTGTAAGGAAGGCCCCCGTGACTCAAAGATACACACAGAACAGACATGTCCGGGAAAAGAGGGATAATTTATACAGGTAATCTTGTCTGCCCATGAGCACATTTCAAGCCAGGGCTGCCTTTTACAAGTGGAGCACCTAACCAAGTTGCTTTGCTTCTGATTGATAGTTTCACAGAGTTTGAGGCCTGAATGGACCATTAGATCAACTACACCTCTACCCAGAGGTAACGCTGTCCTCAGGAGCCAAAAAAATCTTACCACGTTATAGGTGAAACTGCGTTATATCGAACTTGCTTTGATCCACCGGAGTGCGCAGCCCCGCCCCCCTGGAGCAGTGCTTTACCGTGTTATATCTGAATTCGTGTTATATTGGGTCGCATTATATCGGGGTAGAGGTGTAGTTGGACCCCTCTATATCACAGGCCATTACATTTCACTCAGCTATTCCTGTGCTGAGCCCAAAGATCCTACTCCGACCAAAGCATTTCAGTCCTCAGAAGACTACACCGTGTGCCACAGGCAGAGACAGGAGAGAGAACGAGGTGCCACCAGTACCCAAATCGATCAGGGTTCATAGGAATAGCAACCAAGAGGAACATGCAGTACTTTTCCTACCACTTCAGAGTGTGGAAGAATCTCTGTGCCAAGACAGCAACAAAACACTAACTGTTAAATGTTTTTAACAATGAGTCACACGGATAAGCCACAAGCACTGGGGCCATGGGGCTAACCACACTGATTTATTCTAGCTGATCTTCAAGGAACATCAGGCCAGATTTTGCTCCTATTTCTGTTTATTGACACTGGTATAACTGAATGAGCAGCCTCGAGAAAAACCTCCCATGTAATTACATGTGTGTGTGTGTGAGAGAGAGAGAGAATGATAAGCCTTTCCTAGGCTGCTCTAGAATGAAATGAATGGCAGGCTGAATTCAACTTTTATTTAAATCTTGACCATCATCCAGCAAGAAGTGCCAGCATTATGATTCTGGGTTGGATGGATGAAGCTTAGCCGAGAGAGATGCTCAGTATGCTACATTTTGGTCACTGGCAATACTGTTAGGGCAAGTATCTGCTCAGACCAGCACCCCATGAACATGCATTCTCCTGAGTCCACATTGAGGAGTCACTCTTGGCTTTGCCTCTAGCCCGGGGCAGCACACAGCTGTGCTAGCCCTAGAGTAGAGCAGGAACCAGCCTGCCTCTGAGAATCACAGCTTGGTGCCTTGCTTGGTGGGGATATAGTCTGCACCACCACTATGCCCAGCCCAGCTTAATTCCCCTGGTGTGCTGACTCAGCTGAGGTGTGAGGCAGGGCAGAGCCCGACCACTCCCCGACCACCTGCACAGGAGCTGGAGTAGCAATGCCATGGAAGCTCCTTTTCCTACTCACGGTGAGACACACGTAGCAAGTACAGGGGAGTGAGGGGCTCCTTACGTCCCTTGTATGGGCATGTACCACAGGTCACATTCTGGCCCCTTCCCATTGAATCTCAAATCTGCCTTTTCTCATTCAACAGCTTCCCTCTCCCTTTGATATTCGCATGCGGAACATGCCACCAATAGCCACCTTTAATTGGTTGCCCCAGGTCCCCCTATAACACCTGGTGATACGATCTGCTTACCTTCTCTGGATCCTTGTGCTCCACACCTCAGCTTCCCCTTCTGGGACAGGCTTCTTCACAATGGGCTCTTCCAGCCAAATCATGCAGCCCAGCCCATCTTCCAGCTGGGAACAAACAGAAAGGCCAACAAAAAAGTCATGCAGTAATATCATACTGGGTCTTCAGCTGGGCTCAATAGTCCTGCCACCCCACATCTCAGGATTGTCACACCTCCTTCCTCTGGGACCTTGTAGAGAGTCCCAGGCCCTCCCTTCCTCTCCTGTGGGTCCCAGTCCAGGGACCCGATAGCAACAAAGAACATCCAAGTGCTCTGGCTCCTTGCTTCACCTCCCTGGACTACTGCCTATTGTGGCCTGTTTCACAGCTTTCCCTGTAACCCTTCCCTGGTCAGTCAGCCTATCTCCTAAGCCCACCATGGGTGGTCCAGCCCATGCCAGATTCTCTGTCTTTCCCCCAGCCCCTTAGCTGATTACCTACTAGCTTCTTGCAGGCCTTTTATATCTAACTTTGGAGAGCCCGTCCTTGCTCCTATCATCACTCAGGACTCTGCTGGGCCCCATGCTTCTTCTTATATGAGCCTCACATCCAGGCTACCATGTCATGATCACCTGACCCAAGCCCAAGTCCATCACCTGGCAGGTGGCTAAATAGCCACAGGTGAGGCTGAACCCAACTCCCTTAAAGGTCCAGTTCACCTTGTGACAATGAGCAACTCGTATAATGATGTACAGCAGGTGAAACAGTAGAAGCACTTGTCTGTAGTGTCAGTGTGGAAAAACCTGACCAGAGTTGTGGTTAGCCTCAGGGCACTAATGTGAAAACGAGTAAGACTGGGGCTAATTCATCACAGGTTTAACTCACAGTGGAGTTGTATCACAGAGGAAATTGGCCCATCATGCAGAGTAGCAACTTGTGCAGTTCAAAAGCCCTGTGTGACTTTGGTAAAGACTGAAGTCCACTCTCTAGTCACAGGACAAGTCACAACTGTCTAGACTTCTCCAGATAGCCCCTGATATGAAGGGCTGAATGATCTCCTCTAGGCCACTAAACTCTCATCTGGTCAATTTTTTTTCTCAAAACTGTTTTTTGAGTGAATGCTTTCATCAAAAAATTTCAACGTTTCATCAAAAATCTGAATACCTGATATAGGGTTACCATACTGGAGCCCCTGAAAAAGAGGACACTCCAAGGGGCCCCGCCCCCGCCCCAACTCCGCCCCTTCCCCGCCCCAACTCCGCCCCTTCCCCAAAGTCCCCACCCCAACTCCGCCCCTTCCCCTGAATGCTCCGCTCCTTCTCCTCCCCCTCCCCTGCTTCCCGCGAACATTTGATTTGCGGAAAGCCTGAAACAGGCAGGCAACAGGTAAGCTAGGGCTGGGGCTGGGGCTGGGGCTGGGGGGGAGCGCGAGGACACGCGGCCCAGTCTGGCCCCCCCGGCCGAGCGGCTCCCTCCGGCGGCCGGCCAAGAGG